ACTACTGATCAGCGATGGGCTATCGCGGCCAAAAATATTTCAGTAAAGGCAAGTAAGATTTATTACTATGGTGACAAAAGAAATGGGAAGATTAGAAGTTGGACTACGCGTCGAAACAACCACCTAAGCAACCTGAGTGCGTCTTGGGTTAGTTATGGAGTACGACTTCGGTGGGCTTCTTAATCTTCGAGATAAGTTATATGAAGTTGGACTACGCGTCGAAACAACCACCTAAGCAACCTGAGTGCGTCTTGGGTTAGTTAAGGAGTACGTCTCTGGTGGGCTTCATACCAAGCTTGTCTCCAACCAAACGATGGATACTTTGAATGTTCCTTTTTAAGCTTTTACGTTTTCTAACTCATCATATTTCCCATTAAGGATCAATTACAAACGGATGCTGTTAAAGCATTCTGGCTGAATATTAACCTGGAAAAGGCTGAGATAGAACGGCAATTGTCAGAGACTATTTTGGGGCAGAAGTTAATAGAACTAAGGCAAAAAGAAGTGGATATAGAATTATCCAAAGTATGTATCTTATGGTATCTTGAATATCGAATTTCGTAGAAGCCTTACTAATTCTGTTATCGGTTTACAGGCTGAGTTTGTAATAAGACATTCTATGACAGGGAATAAAGGGCACGAATTATTAAATAATCAAAAATTAAAATATATGAAAAACCTTGATGACGATGAAGAAATAGAATTGGTAGGTTCTTAAATGGTCTTTTCTCTTTATGCCATTCGTAATACTGAATTTATTTTCATAGGGAGAACCTTCTACAAGTAAATCTAGAAAGAGAAAACCTGTTCGTTCTAATGACGATTTGACTGAGACTGATAAGACTGATGATAGTGAAGTAAGAAGACATTAAGTTATCATTATATATAATTTATTTTCTAACCGGAGTGATGTATTTTTTATAAGTATTTTCCTAGTGATAACGATACATTTGATCCCTCCGACTCCTCTTGTTCAGATCACAACCATAAGAAGGCAAGTAACATTAATGTAAGAAGCAATGATATATAAATTAACATTTAAAAAATATCTACTTAAAATTTAGCAAAAAATTGATAAAGGGAAAAAACGTGCAGATGTAAAAGAAACACGAAGTATCAATATCGTAAGTTAATATTGGATTGATATAGTTTTATTTTTTCTAAATAATACCCAAGTAATATATATATACATTTATTAGTGTAGGACTCAAACGCGAAATCGCAAGGTTGTAAGATAAAGTGACTTAATAAAATTTTTTCTTTTAAAAGAATAATATCGAATAATACATGTTTCTTATTAGTTAAGGACGCCATCTCCAAGATCAACCAATAAAGCGAATCTTATTATAACTCCAGAAAAACCAAGCCTTTCTGAAAAGTCAGCACAATATATACATAATCATATAGCAATAAAAACAAACGAGCAACATGCAATTTTAAAAACTGAGGGGGTTTCTATAAAAATTCCAGATGCAATTTATAACTGGCTTGTCAAAGTACTTTCGGTTAGTACAGGTTTATTTCTTATGTAATTCAAGGTATACTATATTAAAAATTCATATTTAGACCATTAAGAAAGAATTTAAAACTGCCATTATGGTTCCATTTGAACCCGAAGAATGTGAAAACCTTCACCATTTTCGACAAATATGTGAATCGGTCCTTTATGACTTGTATGTATATTATTTTCTTTACCCATGAATTTTTTATGTTAGCATAACAAATTTATTTTTGTAATTTTAAAATTAGTTATTGCATGACATGATCGCGTTCATTGGATCGGAATATAAATGAGAGAACTTATACTGTCGAAAGAATTGTCCCCCTCTTCAAGGCACTACAATCAGAATACCCAGAATATAAATTCAGTTGGATCGAGTTTGAAGTGAAAAGTATTAGGGAAATTGCAAAGGTGTTTCCGGGCTTTGATTTAATCATAAATAAAGCTGACGGTATTGGGACTAAGGTTTCATGTGACCATGCAGTTGTATTTATTGAAGTATCCGGTCGTCCCGGTAAACAGGATGAAACCCACATAGAAGGTGATGCCGAAAAACTTTTAAAAGAAGCGACATTTGGATTGGTTTCATTACTTAGAAATTATTTGGATAAACCTGCAGAGGTGGCAAAGAACGTGCATGTTTATATGATACAATGC